TTAAATTAATAAAATAGTAAACTATATCATTGACATAAAACCAAGGTAATCAAATTTATCAATGCATCATCATTATCAGAGTAAATCACAAAATGCATAATCGATTGGTGTATGCTCTAAAATCATCCCAGGCTCTTCCCTTTGAACTAGAAGTACTTGAAACATAAACTGAAAACTGTAAGCACAAAACATAGTGAGTTCTCCAAAATACCACATACCATACATAACTAAACACATAATGGGCTTGCCCAATGAGTGTAACGGGCCCCACCCACTGAGTATAACGGGTGCTGCCTAGACTCATATAACGAGCTCCACCCACATAGTATAATGGGCCCTACCCAGACTTGCATAATGGGCCCTACCCACATACAAATCATATAAAGATAACAAGATAATAGCATACAGAATAACCATCCCCCTAGGGGCATTGGGCCTTGCACGGTAAGCATACGAACACATAACATATACAATAGTCAGGAAGACATCTAGCATCCTAATATAATAAACCATGGGACAAAATTTGTGCCTTTGACTCGCTAAACCCAGTGAAGAGAATCACATCACACTGCTGAATCCCACAGATAAATCTCTCGCTGATGGCTCGCTAAAATGCCCACGCTATCAACCACAAAATAACATCCAAATAATAATTGCATCTTGAATCACACTGAGAGTCTAAACTAGGGTAAAAAACCTTTTTACCCTTTACCCAACTTGGCCTAAAGCCAAGGTCCAATTCAATTGTCTAAAAAGCCCAAATTCCAAAATTATCACCCAAAGCCCAATTTGGCCTAATTTTCCAAATTGGGACCAATCCCTTTCATGTGCCTTCATCCATGAGAGTCCAATAAAATATCAATAGCCCAACAATGGAATTCTTATGGCCCAACAAGGCCCAAAACAACTAAGTTCCAACATGACCCAAAACTATGAGCCCATAAGTTTGAAGCCCAGTCTATTGAGTATGTGGGGTATACTCAGCTCGTACGCTCGGTGTACTCTTTTGAGGGCTTGTACATGCAGTGTACCTACTTGTACGGCTAGCATACTCCACCATCTTGACCCACTTCTCATTTCAGCTCTTAATCAATTAAGACCTTAACCCAAACTCAGAGTTGAATTCCTTGAGGTGGTTTATCACGTAAAGTTGCCAACTTTACATTCATTCATGGCTTAACGGGGGTTTTAGAGCTCAAAAGAGCTTAATAAATGACTTAACACATGCATGAGACCAAAACCACCATGCACATTTATGCTCAAGAAACCCTTAATGTGTCTAGATCTACAAGGATAATCTCCAAAAACGTCCTTAGCTCACAAAACCAACCAAAAGGGACCAAAAAAAACCATAAACAAGTTAAAGAGTAGATCTATGAAATGAGATGACAAGCTTTGAACTTTATACCTCAAAATCCATGAAATGAAGGTGCTAAAGCTGGATCTTAAGGATCTCCTCCAAAGAATGAGTCTTCAAGCTTCTTCTTCTACCACTTCAAGATGCACAACACCCACCAAAACCTTCACAAGAGCTCAAAAGCACCACACAAACGCTAAGGAAAGAATTAGGGTTTTCAAGCGTATGGAGGATGGTTAAACAAGGCAAAAAGAGGCTATATTATGGTTTATATAGGGTACAATTCCTAAGATAAGGGTTTCCAACTTGCTCACGTACGTTAAGCATACTCTAAGTACGCCTAATATATGTGAATGGGCTCCGCGACCAATCTGTATGAGTACGCCTAACGTAGAAGGAGTATACCTAACATACTCCAACTTCCCCAATGTTAGGAATTTTTCTCCCTAGGGAACAGATCCACAAAACCTTCCAACCCAAGGGTCTAAACTGAAAAGCACAATGAACCGTGTTACGTTGTGCCATGCCCAGTGGCCCGTTAATAATGCTGCTCCAGCAGCCACCCCACCCCTCTTCTGATGTAATCACATCGTCCATAACCCACTTTTACCCATATCCCGATACAATAAACGCATCTAACAGCAGCCCATTCCTATTTTGTTTTGGATTTGCCACCGATTAGCTCACAAGCACCTTCTATCCCTCGTACTCTCTTGATCCAAACCCAGAGTATGTACGCCATTTCTAAACCAAAACAATGCGATAATTTCCATACTTTTACCACTATCTCTCATATACCTCGAAACCCTATAGATCCCCTTAAAAACCTAGATTGGAATAAAGCCATGAAAGACGAATTTCAGGCTCTTATCCGTAATAACACGAGAGAATTTGTCTCGAGAAATCATGATATGAATATAGTGCGTAGTATGTGAATTTGTCGTCATAAAACTAAGTTTGATGGTTCTTTAGAGCGATATAAAGCTCGTTTAGTGTGTGATGGTAGGTGTTAAACTGAAGGCATCTACTATGGCGAAACTTTTAGCCCTATAGTAGTTAGGCCATAATCCATACTATTCTCTCAATCACTAATTCGATTGCGCGACAAATTCATCAACTAGATGTGAAAAATGCTTATATACATGAGCATCCTCAAGAAACATTTTACATGCATCTACCCTCGGATTTCGAGATCATTAATACCCAAATCATGTATGTCGACTTAAAAAGCCACTTTATGGCCTTAAACAGGCACTACGGGCATGATAACAAAGGTTTGATGACTACATGCCCATATTGGGGTTGAAACATTACAAATGTTACCACTCTTTATTTATCTACAAAAAGGTTACCCATACATCATTTCTCCTGCTTTGCATCGATGACATCTTCCTTATTACCTAATTATTTAGCCTACACCACGAGTTTATGGAACTGTTAACAAAAGAATTTGTGATGAAAGATCTTGGACCCCCAAACTATTTTCTTGGAATTTTGGTGTCCCGCTACAAAGATTCACTTTATCCTTCCCGTCAAAATACGCTAATGAAATCTTGGAAAGAGCAGTAATGAGCTCTTGTCAACCATCCTCCATGCTGGTTGACACCATGGGAAAATTAAGCAAAACTGATGATACTCTTCTACTTGACGGGGGTGCACAATATCGTCAACTTGTTGGGCCCTCCAATATTTTACATTCACCCGACTAGACATAAGCCATGCTATTTAACAAATTTGTGCAAATGCATGCTTCCTAAACGTCACATTTTCATACTCCTAAACAAATTTTGAGGTACATTCAAGGTACTATTGTTCACGCGTTGCACCTCACAATATCACCATTCTAGAAGCTTCTAGCCTGTAGTGATATGATTGGGTGGGATATCCAGACATAAGGTGCTCCACTTCTTGATATTGTTTCTATTTGGGCGACATCAATGAACTAAGCATATCGAGTTCGACATTCATTTCATTCAGGAGAAAGTAGCTCATGGTCAAATCTGTGTATTTCACATTCCTTCTCACTATCGAGTTGTGGATTTCTTCACTAAAGGTTTACCTCTCATACATTTTGAAGATTTCAAGAACAGTTTCAATGTTGTTCATCGTCTCGATTCGACTGTAGGGGTATATTAGCCGAAGATTCCCTTCCTCGATCATAGATATGCATTGTTATAGAAGATATGATATACATTTATTTGTTGAGATAATATCCGTAAATATTGATAGGTCGATTGTATATAGAAGTAAAGCAACAACACAAGAAGGTAAGATCTCTATCTCACAACACAAATAGGCAAAATAACTTCTTATTAAGTTCAACATGGATAATTCTTCTCCTGCCTCAGTAATCCCTATGGAGTTTGGACTAAAATTGTCCAAAGAATGCATCAAAGAAAATGTGGATCCCAGATTATATCAAAGTCTAGGTCAATGCCTGATATCATGTTCCCAATTAGTTTAGTCAGTTCTCGATTAATTTAATTTGTCGTTACATGGAAACTGCACCTAGGCCTGATATCATGTTCCCAATTAGTTTAATAAGTCGTTACATGGAAACTCCAAAAAGAAGTCAGTAGGAAGTAGGCAAAACGCATTCTACATTTCATCAAAGGGACCCTCAATCATGGCATCATATATTCTAAAGTTAATTGGTTTTTAGTGACAACTATTACGGAGGGAATCTCGAGGATAGCAAAAGCACTATGGGATATATATTTAATCTTTGCGCATGTGTTGTTTCTTGGCATTAATCAAAGAATAAAAGGTTCTTGCATTATCATCTGTAAAGGCCGAGTATATATCTCTTTCTATGGCTGTCTATCAAGCTCTTTGGCTAAGAGAAATCCTAGAGCTACATGCATATCTCTCAAAAATCTGGAACAAAGATATATTATGATAATAAGTCCCTAAAACCCAGTATTTCATGGAAAGATTAAGCATATTTGTATTAAGTTTCATTTTATCCGTGAACTAGCTAGTAAGCAATGGTGATATATATGGAAGTGGATTTATCTTTAGGAAAGCCTTGCAACCTGGAAGCTTCCATCACTTAAAAGAAAAACTAGAATTTGTCGGTTTATTCTAATGGTTAAAGAATAGTTGGAAGTTGGTGGTTATATATGGCAGTTATTCTCTCCAAATGTTGCAACTGTAGATAAACAAAACAGTTGCATTGGTTCAACTTCAATAGACTTGTATATATAACACTATCATATGTATGAAAACGATGATGTAATTCTGAAGTATTTGATCTATAATAAAAGTATCAGTTTAATGTATATACTTTGTGAGATTTCCATTACGTTTAACATAATACATGGTTGTTTGTGTCCTCTCTTCTGTTGTATCTATCAGTAGTAATAAGTAATGTAAGGTGTCGTTTTTTTCTTTAGATTGTAACCTTGTACTTTGTATGGTGTTAGAAGTTCGGGTGCTAGTGTCCTTCCTTTTGTTTATATCATTATTCATATGTATACCATAAGAGCATGCTTGATGTATTTAAAGATCATATGATCTTTATGTTTGCTTTAGGAACTTAAACCACATATCACATGACTACATCTAAAGGGATTAGATGAGAATCTATTATTACACCTCACTATCTTAATGGTTCAACACTACTTAACAAGATTTATGTCTTCTACTTTATCTCATCATCATGTCTTGCATTGAAATCTTGAGGCATGAAGAACCGATTCATGAATTCAAGCTGATCCACAGTTAAAAGATCCAAATCATTGTCACTTGTACTCGTTCCAATCATCATGTCAAAGTTAGAGGATTCAACTTGTGATGTAATGTATGGAAGGTTTGTCTCTGAACTCTGATTTCTACCATTGATATCTTGAGATGTGCACTGATTTATGAATTCAGAATCCCTTGTACTTGTTCCTATCATCATGTCATGGTTGAAAGATTCATATGGTGATCGAATGTTCATATCTTGAGGAGTGAATCGATTGATGCATTCATGTTGAACCATTCTAGAGTTCCATGTACTTGTTTCTATCATCATGTCACTGTTAGAAGATCCATCTAGCGATGATGAGTTGTATTAAAGATTCATCGATGATTTTAGATCTCCACCATTTTTATCTTGAGGTGTGAACCGATTTATGAATTCGTTTTGATCCAAACCAGATTCCCTTATACTTGTTCCTATCATTATGTCACACTTTCCTCCTCCTTTCATACCATGAACATTTTTACACCCTTCACATCGACAATTACTCCAGCATCCGACTTTACCCTAATGGAATTTACTCAAAAAGATTAGTAGAAACAAGAGAAAGTAAAGAGATTAATCTGACATGAAATACCTTATAGCACTCACAATACCGATGCATGCACATTGACTTCTTACATATGCAACCTTTTCTATGTTTTTGTACATTTGGCATTAGCTTATCTCCACCCTCCTGTTGATAATCATTATGCATGTTAAGAATCGATGAATTAGTATATGCAAAGTGAGAAAGGTTAAAGATTATAGATTGTGTACAAGAGAATGAATCTTGGGTGAAAATGCAAGTGGGTTTCTCTCTTCTATGCATTCACGTGACTCCTGGACTTCATCTTCATAGTCACGTAGATTGAAGCATTCTTTACAACTACATGCTTCATAACAATAGAATCCAGCAGAAAAGCAATCACAATAACTGCAAAAGGAACTGTTTATGAATATCATCATAGAAAGGTAATTGAAAGGGAGAAAGAGTTGTTGTTGATATTGAAATTTGAACTTACAGTTTCAAGCATTTGGTCTTCTTACACTTGCAGCGTCTATGAACATCATCATTGTCATCGTTTCTTTTTGTATCCATTTAGGAACAATTAGAGAAAAATCTGAATATATATGACAGGAAGAATTCATCGTTATTGGGATTTTGAAATGTCAGAGTTGTAAACTCAAGAATTCAAGTTCCCTTGATTGAATAATTTCATGGGTAAATTCATCTCTAGTAGAAAGGTAAAATTAGAAATTAAATGAGATTTCAGGAAATTAACACAATTATCTATTACGTTCATTCATTTGATAAAACTTTCCTTCACAAATCTTTCATATCCTAATTACCCCAACATCTGGCATCTCATCGATGATCGATCGATTCTTTTTCAGAATAACCTTACTAACAAAATTACAGAGTAAAGAAGATACAAGTGAAAATACACATTCTGATATGCTAGAATTGGAAATCAATTCAACAAGAAAGTCTTCGAAAACATAAATTGAAAATGATAAAACCCTTCAGCAAGAACTAGAACTATCGGCAATTACTTTACCCCGTCGATTTACAAAATTAGCGAAGTATTAGAAACAGATTTAGAAATGAAACAAACGGTAAATCGGGAATGAAAGTTAAAAATTGAAGTGAGAAACGGGATATGCGATATGTACCTTGAAACCAGTGGATTTTGTAGATGAAAGCGGTGTCAGTGATGAGGGTAATTGGGTTATTTTCTTGTTCAGGGGAATTAATGCCCTAAAAGAAAACCCAAACTCGTTATTTCTTATCAGCGTAGAAGAAAAAGAAGCTATGGATTCATGAATCAAGATCAACACTCTTATAGCAAAAACAGAGGGAGAAAAACAAATTAGAAATGTAATGGAGAATGATAAAAAGGCGGGAATCTATAGTGCGCCTCGCAACGGTAACAAAGTGCAGAAAAACAACTGTTCTTTATTTTATCCGTGACAAATTTTCTAACAAAGTGTTCAATTATCCATAAATTTTTTAATGATATGTGACAGATAAAAGAAAAAACGAGAATAATCAAAATTTTAATGCTAATTTGTCTAAAAATAGCTTAAAGTTTCACATCTCTTCAAAGCCACAAATTTTATAGGGACCCACCCCAGGAAAAAAAAAAAAAAAAAAAAAAAAGAGGTTTTGCATGTTTTTGTGTTTTGATTTACTCACTACGGAATGAGCATAGGCTAATGAGAAACATAGGTATTGCAAATGGGCTTTTATAACAATTGGGCTAGATTTCTTTAGTTTCAAACTGCCAAACATACGATATACTTTTATTAAGAGATAAAGTTGAAAGTTTTTCATGTTTACAATAATTATAGTCAAATTGTCATGATTGTTCGAAATTCTTAGGTTCTTGTAGAAGCTAAGAATTGTAAATGTGATGTGGAAACATAAACGAAATGATATAATAACTACACATGTAGCATAAGAGCAAGCTTCATGTATTTAAACTTCATAAAGATGAGTGTTATCCTTGCATGTGTTTTTGCAAAGTTATATTTTCCTCATAAGCTGGATTAATGCTCTTCTTTACATTTAAATTTTACATTCCTGATATGCTAAAACTTACTACTTACTAATATCGTATTTAGAGGAGATAAGATTTGTTACATGGCTACATCTAATGGGATTAAATGAGTATGTTTCTACTTTTTCATCTCATCATTTCTTACATTGAAATATTGAGATGTAGACTGATTCATGAATTCAAACTGATCCAAATCTTGAGAAGTGAACTGATTCATCAATTCAAGCTGATCCAAAGTTGGAAGATCCAAATCATAATCCGTTTTACTTGTTCCTATCATCCTCAAAGTTAGAAGATTCAGCTGCTGATTGAATGTATGAAAAGTTTGTCACTGAACTTAGATTACTTTCAGTCATCTTATCAAAGTTATCCTCTCTCTTTCCATGAACATTTTTACATCCTCTACAATGATATTGAAGTTGGCATCCAACTTTAGCCTATTGGAATTAACTCAAAAAAGTTAGTAGAAACCCGAGAAGTATTTAAAGAGAATATATGACATGAACTCAATAATTGTTAGTCAGTTATAATTAAACACATACCTTATTGCACTTACATGATTCTTTCAAGCACATTGACAACTTACATTCACAACCGATTTTGTTCCTATCTTTATCCTTCTGTTTGCAACCATAATGAGCATTAAGAATCAGTTATTTCACATGCAAAGTCAAGTTTTAAAGATCATAGGTTGTGATCAAAAGAATGAAACCTTGGTGGAAAATGCAAGTGGATTTCTCACTTTTGCTTGTTGATGTGCGACTTGAACTGTATCTTCATAATCAAGTAGATTACAGCATTCTTTGCAAGAGCAAGCTTCAGGACAATAAGATTCAGCAGCAAAGCAACCACAATATCTGTTGTGTTTAAAAGACTCAAACTTAGGTTGCAAAACAGCAGAATAATTTAATGGGAAAAAGAGTTGTTGTCGTTATTAAATTTGAACTTACAGTTTCAAGCACTTGGTAGTCTTACACTTGCAACACTTATGAGTATCAATGTTGCTTTTTGTAGCCATTCTGAAACAATTAAAGAATACCATGAATAAATATAACAGGAAGCATCTATCCACATCAAAAAGTATGACATGAAACATGAAGAAAAACCTTTTGTTTTGGGGGGTTTGAGGCAAGTAACCATGTTATCTTTCATATCCATTTATCATTTAAAACCCTTTCTAGTTGACTTCCATGATTTCACACTAAATTTGACATCTTATATCAATCCTTTCTCTGCATATAATCATACTAACAAAATTACAGGGTGGGGTCATGACTTATGAGCATCAAATTTGAAACTAAGTGTCCGAATCTAAGAGTAAAATCTTTACAGGTGAATGTAAACATTCTAATGCGCTTGAATTGAAAGGAAAATGTCATCAATTTCACCAAGAATAACCTTTCAAAAAGTAAAATGAAAACGACAAAAACCATCACCATGAACTGGAACCATCGGCAAAGATTTTACGGATTTACAAGATAAGGGTATTTGGAACAAATTCATAAATGAAATTTAGGATAAAACTGTGTGTACCTGGAAACCAGTCGATTTCTTTGATTAAAGAAGCGTCAGTGATGGTGCCCTAAAAGAAGCCAAAATCCGATCAGCGTAGAAGAAGAGCCGATGATTCTTGAAACCCTAACCAAGATCGATATCCTTTAAGCAAAAACAGAGCATAAGGGAAACAAAAAACCAGAAAAGTAAATATAAAATGATAAAAAGGCGGGAAACTATAAGAGATATACCTCGCAACGGTAACGGAGTACCGGTGGTAGAGTTGCTAAGCTTGTTTTTTATTTGAACCATCATATCATTTATTTATTTTTGTTTTTGGTCTCTACTATAGTCTAGTTGAAATAACTATTTTGTTCTTTTATATATATATATATATATATATATATATATATATATATATATATATATATATATATATATATATATATATATATATATATATATATATATATATGGTCTCATCACCACCCATCAGTTTCCTCATTGAGTTCAAAAACAGGAAGATGATTTTGGTATGGAGAAGCTCAAAGGTTTAAACAATAATAGTGTTATTGAAATAGGAATGCAGTTTTGGAGAGAGACTATATGTGAGGTAAGATAGGAAAACAAACGAGAAAAGGAAATTGATCGAAAGAGGAAAGGAGCTTTTGAGATCTGAAGGTTGCAAATATACCGGTCACCGACACCAACAAAGAAAGATAACGGAGAAGTGTAACCATCATCGATCTAGTAATTCTATCGCTTAACTTTTGATAGATTCAACATGTATATGTTGCAAATGTGAGTTCCACTGTTGGTATCAAATACTCAAGAGTAAGACCAAAAAATATAAAGTTATATCAAATACTCAAGAGTAAGACAAAAAAATATAAAGTTATATGTTGCAAATGTGAGTTCCACTATTGGTATCAAATACTCAAGAGTAAGACAAAAAAAAAAGTTATATCACATAGAATGGTAAGTAACTACTAGGGGGTGGCAATCGTATCGGCGGATCAAAATGCATCAACCCGTACAAGATCCATATAATTATTCACGTCGAGAGCTGACATGTTGGAAAAATTAACCCGTACACAACCTGTCTACCCGTTTATATATACATATATATGGTTAGATCGGGTTGGCAAGGGTGATAGGTTGACCTATAAACCCAGAGATTATTTGTGTAATAATGAGGACTGGTTTAATATAGGGCAGAAAACACACATAGGATGATAGGCATAATCACATAAATTAAATCTAATATATTATAATATTATACAATGAATTTTCTCATAGGGTGGGAGGTCTTGGGTTCATCATATTCATTTCAGGGTGGCCAAGAGGGGGGTTATGCAGCAACTCTTGAAAATGTAAGGCAAAATGTTTCGTTGTCTTCGCCAAATGGTTGACCACCTCAATGGAAGCTTGATTTAATGCCACAATACCTTTTAAAAAAATTTAAAAAATAAAAAAATTTAAAAAAAAAATAAATGTGTTGGCCGGTTGACCTGAACCCAATAACTAACCCGTACACAATAGGTTCTTTGGGAGGTTGGTGGGTCAGAAATTTAACCCAAACCGTTTATTTTTGTAGCACGATCATGTTTAGAGTTGCCACCCCTAGTAAATGCCCATTGTTGGATTCTCCAACTGTTCTCTTCTTCACCTTAGCTAGGTAAATAGGAAAAATCCTCCTTTAATGGCTTTTCTTACGACAACGATACCAGTGGAACATTTTTGTTTAATGGCCCAAATATTTGTCGACAACTTATATTATTTGGGAAAGTTCAGTTTAGTGTGTTCTAACCAAATTAATGAACATTTCTTTAGCAATATGACCAAATTAATGAACATTTCTTTAGCAATATCATACATAACCAACGAGAAAGAAAGGAATTGCATAACAAAGTTCCTGATCCATTTAATTATCTTTTAACTACCAGTTTTCCAAACATCGACTAACATTTAGTGATTTACCATGTAGGTTTGTACCAATATATTGTAATTACACATAGATTTCTCATGCAAAACATTCTTCATAACATAACTCTAATCGACATACTTTTTACAATCTAATTCAACACTAACCAACTTAAAAAAAATCATTTTTTCATCCAACCATCACAACAATACACAAATTACTAACTAGAACTCCGAAGAAGACTAATGTTTTTACATGAGAATGTAAGAAAAAAAAATCCACATTTAGCAAACTATATATCTTCTACTTTCTCCTATCATCATGTCTTGATATGAAATCTTGAGGTGTAGTGAACGGATTCATGAACAGATCAAGTTGATCCATAGGAACCATATCCCAGTCCCTTGTACTTGTTCCTATCATCTTCTCACAGTTGGAAGATCCAGTGTTCATCATTGAACTCAGATCTCTAGCATCGATATCTTCAGGTGTGAATTGATTCATGACTTCAAACTGATTTAAAGAAACCATATCAGTGTACGAAAGGCTTCCCACTGAACTCGGATCATTACCATTGATATCTTGAGGTGTTCCTATCATCATGTCATGGTTAGAAGATTGAAATTGTATGCATGGAATGTCCATATTTTGAGGTATAAACTGATTCATGTATTCAGACTCCATTATACTTGTTCCCATCATCATATCAAAGTTATCCCCTCTTTTTCCATGAATGTTTTCACATATTCCTACACATCGACATTCACTTCGGCATCCCACTTGAGTCTAAAAAAAGATTATTAGAAACTCGAGAAATTAAAGTAAAGATAATCTGAAATATATGAATTGAAAAACCCTATAACATACCCTATAGCACTTGCATAAAAGTCGTGAGCACTTTGAAACCCTACACTTGCAACCTATTATGTGCTTTTCTCGACCCTCCTGTTGACAACCATTATGCTTTAAGATTTAAGAATCCATTAATTTGCATGGAGTTGAAAAGTCAAGTTTTTAAAGATGATTAAGAGATAATAAAGAGAATTATCGACCTTGGTGGAAAATGCAAGTGGATTTCGCTCTTGTGCTTCTTCACGTGCCTTGTCAACTTTTTCTTTATAATCAAGTTGATTGAAGCATTCTTTGCATGAACAAGCTTCGTTACAATGATGTTCAGCAGCAAAGCAAATACAATAACTGCAAAGGAACTGTTGTGTTGTAAAACATAAGCTTTAATTAGTTGTCATTATTAAATTTGAACTTACAGTTTCAAGCAATTGGTATTCTGACATTTGCATCCTTTATGAGCATGGTTTTTTCTTTTTGTAGGCATTCTTGGAACTGTAAGAGAAGAACATGAACAGTTATAACAGGAAGCATCAAGTCTGACAGGAAACATGAAGAAAAATCTTTCTTTTTGGGGTTTTGAAATGTCAGATTCATAAACACTAAGAATTCACGTTCCCCAAATCAAATAATCTCATATGCTCAATTGGGAATCAAGTATTTGTGGTGTTTCCGATGACCTAAATTCGTTAATTAAACACGTTCCTCTATCTAGAGAAAGAACAACGATCTTTCAAGTGGTTGTTTTCACTAATTTTCCTCTAAATTCGTCATTACATCAATCCTTCTTACTAACAAAACTATAGAGTGGACTTACGAGCATCAAGTTTCAAACAGAGTGTTCTAATCTGAGCGTGAAAAACATACAAGTGTAAGTAGGCATTCTAATGCGTAAGAATTGTCAAGAAAACACCATCAATTTCACCAAGAATAGCTTTTCAGACAAAAATCTTCACTAATAACTGGAATAATCGGCAAGGATTTTACCGATTTACAAGATAAGGGTATTAGAAACAAATTCAAACACGAAATGTGGGATAAAACTGTATGAATACCTGAAAACTAGTGGATTTCTTTGATGAAAGAGGTGTCAATGGGATTATCGGCTAAGTGCCCTTACAAAACCCCAAAGATGATCACGGTAGAAGAAGAGTCGATGATTCTTGAAACCCTAATCAAGAGCGATAACTTTTAGCAAAACCACAGCAAATGAAATAAAAAATCAGAAAAGTTATTTATACAGGTAAAAAAGGCGGGAAGCTAGAGAATGTGACCCTCGCAACTGTACCGGTGGCCGGTGGTGGGAATACTAATCTTACGGTTACAAAATTAACTATTTCTATATTTTATCCATGACCAATTGTCACAGATTATATTTTGTATTATTTTGAAACATTTTAATGATTTTTAGGTATTCTATGTGTCTTTTCTTTACTCTTTTTTTTTTTCTCCTTTTTTTTTTTCTAAGGATTGACTCTTTAAATATAAGCTTTGTTGCGGGTTGCTCTTCTCCAATATAAAATAACTAAAATACCTATTATTTGATTATTATTATTATTGCCCTAACTATGTGTTAAAAAGACTATTCTAGCCTTAAGTTATGGCAAATTAGCTAAACATATGCTAATGCAGTCGGCTCATTGCACATATAATCAATAACATTCCTTATACTTTTCGCCATTTTAAGTGTATGGAAGTTTTGGAGTTAAGGAGGCGTGTAATCAATAACTAAGGGCGTGTTTAAAATGTGTTTGGTTTGGTTTTTAAAACTTTTAAGAAATAAAAACCAAAAATCACAAAAAGATAGGATTTCATAATTTTTGAAAAAGCTTTTTTTTATTCACGGCAAAAAGTTGTTTTAAAATAACTTTTCCATTTCCTAAATATTTTTTGGATTTTTTTGAAAAGTTCAAAAATCATTTTAAAAGGAATATCAAACACCTTCTAAATATATAGCATATATACGAGAAAGTTTGATGTATTTTCTTTTGGATGGCATAAACATCGATGATCATCCTTGCAATTAATTGTTGTCAAAGTGTTATTCGCCTCATAAGTTGGAATGCGAGTCCTCTCATTCTATTTTAATATTTCAAATATACTAACTAGTACATCCAAAGGGATTAGATGAGAACGTATTATTACAAGTCAAATCTTCATGGTTTGACACTACTTACAATATGAATCGAATGTGAATGTATTATAACAATTCAAAGTCTTATCATCATTTTTTGCATGGAAATCTTGAGGTGTAAACCGATTCATGAATTCAATTTGATCTCATAATCATCGTCATTATAATGTCGGGGTTAATTAGAAGATTCAAGTTGATCCAAAGAAACCTCATCAGAGTCGATCTTCTTATGATCGAAGTTATAATCCCCTCTCTTGCCATGAACATTTTCACATCCTACACAAAGGCAATGACCCCCACATCCGACGTGAGCCTATTGGGAATAACTCAAAAAAAGTTAGTCAAAACCCTAGAAAGTAGTACATATTGAATCTAACATGAATTGAACACCTTATAACATACCTTAAAGCACTTACATGACTCCTGAATGCACATTCTCACCCTACACGTGCAGCCTTTTGTGTTTCTCTAAAGTTGTCATCAACCTATGATCTTGACCCTCCTGTTGACAACCATAATGCATGCATGTGTATTAAGGATCCATTAATTAGCATGCATGTAAAGTTAAGTTTCACTACTAGAAAAAAAGGTGTTTGCCTACGGATAATAGCTACGGAAAATTTCCGTAGCTAATTAGCTACGGAATGGCTACGGATTAGCTACAGAATTGGACGCCCTAATTTAGTAACGGAATAGCTACGGCATAACTACGGATTCAATTCCGTAGGTATTTCGTAGCTAATTAGCTACGGGATAGCTACGACATCACTACGGATGCTACTCCGTAGCCATTCTGTAGCTAATTAGCTTCGGAATAGCTACGGCATAGTTACGGATGTTAACCCGTAGCTATTCCGTAGCTACTTAGCTACAAAATGGCTACGGAATAGCTACGGATATAATATTAAACCATTAAATAAATAAAGGATCTCGAAGGTGCAAACGACTGTATCAACACTATTAATGACTATAAGTTGTTGAAAATAAAGATAATCGTGTATAATAGAGGTGGAAAAAAAACGAAGAGAAAAAAACGATGTTTAATGCCCGGAAAATCAAAAATAATAAAATCCGTAGCAACTCCGTAGCTAATTAGCTACGGATTTTTTTTTTTTTTTTCTATTTTTCGGGCACCAAATGTCGTTTTTTTCGCTTCGTTTTTTTACACTTCTATTATACATCATTATCTATACTTTCACTAACTTATAGATATTAATAGCATTCATAAAGTCGTGTGGACCTTCGTGATCAAGTATTCGTTTCATAGTTTTAACAATGTAATTACTATACTTTTCACCAAATTGTGATGAATTTATTTTTGTATATGTATATTTACATACATGAAAGAGTTGTGGTATATGTGTACGTGTATGTGTGTGTGTATACGTGTTTGTGCGTATTTATATGTGAACGTAGATCATAAGCGTGTTAAACCATTAAACGAGTAATGGATCTCATATGTGCACACAACTTTATGAATGATATTAATAGCTATAAGTTGGTGAAAATAGGGATAATCATGTATAATAGAGGTGTGAAAAAAACGAAGCGGAACAAACGACTTTTGGTGCCCGAAATGTCGAAAATAAGAATTATCCGTAGCTAATTAGCTACGTACTAGCTACAGAATTCTAACGGAAATAATAATAATAATAATAATAATAATAATAATAATAATAATAATAATAGTAATAAGAAGATGTTTAAATAGAATAGTCATGCATGTTGGTATGGATGTGACATGCCCGGCCGGTTGGTAAGTTTGTGGCATTGTACGTATGCAACCCGAGTTCGAATCCCACCCATGTTTTCTTTATTGCAGGCCGTAGCTAATCGGTAGCTAAACCGTCGCTAAACCGGTCCGTAGCTAATCCGTAGCAAATTCCGAAGTTGGGCCGTAGCAAATCGGTAGCTATTGTTTTTAATTAAAATCCATTCTATTTCCTTATATCCCACGAATCCCCCCCTCTCGTTCCAACAATCGCCGGCGATTCTTCCCGCTCTCACCGTTGCCGTCGTCGGCTTTCTTCTCCGGCGCACTTCCCTTCTCTCTCTCGGCCTTTTGCTCGATTCTTCCCTAAAAGGTAAAACCCTAGTGTTTTTTTTTTTTTTTTTTTTTTTTTTTTTTTTTTTTTTTTTTGAAATTACTTGATGTATACAATTTAGATGCTTTATTCATTGATAATGCTAGTAAGTTTTGTTGAATGTGATGTCAAATTTAAGGATTTAGATTTAATTTGGTTGAATATTTGGTTAATTTCATAGCTTAGTTGAATATATAGTTAATTTCAATTTGTTAAAAATGTTAATTTTGTTGAAATGTGATATATAAAAAATGTTGTGAACTTTAATTTGTTAAAAATGTTAATTTTGTTGAAATGTGATATATAAAAAATGTTGTGAACTTTAATTTGTTAAAAATGTTAATTTTGTTGAAATGTGATATATATAAAAAATGTTGTAAACTTTAATTTGTTAAAAATGTTAATTTTGTTGAAATGTTAGGCTAATTTTATAAATTTGTTAAAAATGTTTGATTAAATGGGATGTTATATATGTATCATTAGTTATATATGTGTATTATGTATGTGTATTATGTTAATAATTTTTATGGGCTTTTTATGTATCATTAGTTATATATATTAGATTAAATGAGATGTTACACTATTACTTCATGTTTAGTTTAAAGTTTTAACATTTTTTATATCTAAATGTAGTTTTAGATCGAAATGTTGTCTAATAGAGAATGGATGTACACAAAGAGACTCGATAATCGTCGTTTGTTTAATCCACAATGGCCACATTATGTTAATTTGTTTTTGGATTTTGCTTATGCGAACGCAACAAACATCCAACATATCATTAGGGAAGGGGTGGAAGTTTTTGAAATTAGATGTCCGTGTGCGAAATGCAAAAATATTTATTACCTTCCGAGAGAATTAGTTTTTAGCCATCTTGTTAACCGAGGCTTCATGATTGGTTATACACAATGGTATTTACATGGAGAAAAATATCCAACACTAGAGATAGGTCAATGTTCAAACCCAATTTCACCTCAACACGTGGGTCCAAGTTCGAATATTGAAACAGTTCAACACATTAATAACGATTTTAGTGATTATCATAGATATGAGGAGATGGTTATCGATAGCATGCACCAACCTGAGGCTTCGTATTATCAACAAACACCACAACACCCAAATCTTGAAGCCCAAAATTTTTATAAAGTTTTGAAACAAGCAAGTGAGCCTTTATGGGACGGGTGCACAAAAACTTCCACACTCTCTGCCACCACTAGATTATTGGATTGGAAATCCCAATCTAATGTTTCAGACACGTCATTTGATACACTTCTTTCGATTGTTAAAGACATTCTACCAACTGGCGAGAAGCTTCCTAATAACTTCTACGAGACCAAGAAAATGTTGAAGCCACTAAAATTGCCTTCAGAACGGATTCATGTATGTATAAACCATTGCATGCTATTCAGGGGCCAGTTTGCTGATTTGGATCATTGTGCAGTATGTGGAGAAAATAGATACAAAGCCAAAGGGAGAAAGGTTCCTAATTTGGTCATGATTTACATGCCGATTGGACCGAGACTCCAAAGGCTCTTCTATTCAAGGAAGACGGCCAAACATTTAACTTGGCATGTAGATCATTTAGTAGATTCAGAAAAGATGATACATCCCAGTGAAGGTGAAGCATGGAATCATTTTGACAGAAAATTTCCTAATTTTGCAAATGAGAAGCGCAGCATACGTCTCAGGTTGTGCACTGATGGGTTTAGTCCTAATAATTCAAACACGACTCCCTATTCGTGTTGGCCAGTGTTTCTCACTGTTTACAACCTACCCCCTTGGTTGGCTTTTAAACATCAATACATACAACTTCCATTGATTATTCCTGGGAAGAAGAGTCCCGGACAGAATTTGGATGTTTTTTTTACAACCTTTGGTGGACGAGTTGAAGATGTTGTTCACAGATGACATTGAAACTTATGACGCTCATCGAAAGACCAATTTTCAGATGAAGGTTGTACTTCTATGGACAGTTAGTGACTTCCCTGCTTATGCAATGTTGTCCGGATGGAGCACTCATGGTAATTTAGCCTGTCCGTATTGCATGCACCAAACAGAATCATTTCGACTTTCCAACGGACAAAAACCGTGTTGGTTTGACTATCATAGAAAACATCTACCCGAAAGACACGTATTCCGAAATGATACAGTTAATTTCTTAAAAGGCAAGAAAGTGAAGGGTCATGAAGTGCCTGTTCCATATCCAACCGGAGAATATGTTTGGGAGAAAATTCCGTAGCTATTCCGTAGCTATAGTAGCTACGGAATATTCTGTAGCTATTCCGTAGCGATTTTGTAGCTAATCCGTAGCTATAATTTAGCCACGGGCCATTATGCTACAGCCAATTTTCCGTAGCTATCCGCTTATAGCTACGGAATAGCTACGGATTGTGCCGTAGCTATTGCACCAATTTTCTAGTAGTGTTTTAAAGATTATAATTAAACTACGTAAGAAAGTGAACCTTGGTGGAAAACGCATATGGATTTCTCTCTAGTGCTTCTTCATGTGCCTCATTAACCTTATCTTCATAACCAAGTCGATTAAAGCATTCTTTGCAAGAGCAAACTTCGCTACAATAACATTCAGCAGCAAAGCAACCACAATAACTGCAAATTAAAGGGAATGTTGTCGTTAAAAAACTCGTATACTTTAGTTCTTAAACTTCTGTAATTTTTTATTTAGCGAATGTGGTCATAGCAACACAATTAAAGAGGAAGAAGATTTGGATGCTGTCATAATGAAATTTTGACTTACAGTTTCATGCAATTGGTATTACGACACCTGCATTGCTTAGGAGGACCAGTATTTCTTTTTGTAGCCATTCTGAAACAGTTAGAGAAACACATGAATATAATAATTCATCAATATAAACGAATCTAACAGGAAAGATGAAGAAAAACATTTCCTTTTGGGGGTTTCGTTTGAGATGTCTGAGTCATAGACTCAGTGTTCAGGTTCCCTGTTGACCTAATTGTATGATCAAAAGCTTAATTTGCGCATCTGGAATATCTACTATATCAATTTATGAATTAAAAACGTTCATCCATTAATCCTTCTTCAGGGTAATCTTACAAACAAAATTACAGAGTAGACTTATGACCATCACGCTTTAAAATAAGCCTTTCAAAAATAAAAAAGAAAATGACAAAAAACACTTCACCAATAAGTCGAAACATCGTTGGCAAAGATTTACGGATTTACAGGATAAGGGTTATTAGAAACTAATTCAAACGCGAAATGTAGGATTAAACTGCATTTACCTGGAAATCAGTGGATTTCTTTG